TTTTTTTTTTGTTTTTTTTTTTGGCTGACCAGGACAGTCATTGCCACTTTGCACATTTTTGATTCTTTAAAAAAAAAATTGTGTTTTTTGACGTTAAGAATGTTGGTTTTACTTTCAATTCAGTCCCTGAAGTAATTGACAAACTTTATTATCCGGGTACGGAGCAAATGGATGTTCTTGCAAGAAGTTTATTGCAAGACTACCAAACAACAATGGACTGCCTTTGTTTTTCTTCTTAAGAACTGTAGATGGTGGATTTTTTAATTTTTTTTTTTTTTTTTTTTTAATTGTTGTGAGCATTTGGAGCTGCTGATGACATCTAGTTGAGTTAAAAACATTCATTCCTAATTTTTATGGTGCTTATGTTCTAATAGATGTTACTTTAGGGGGTTGGCATTTGTACCCCTCTGGGAATTTTCTGTAAATACCATCTACACACTTGCCTTTTGTACATGTCTTGGGTTATGAGAGGTGGCTTTTGCTGCCAGTATTAGACTGGAAGTTCATACCTAAGTACTGTAATACCTCAATGTTTGAGGAGCATGTTTTTGTATACAAATATATTGTTAATCTCTGTTATGTACTGTACTAATTCTTACATTGCCTGTATACTTTAGTATGATGCTGATACATAACTAAATTTGATACTTATATTTTCGTATGAAAATGAGTTGTGAAAGTTTTGAGTAGATATTACTTTATCACTTTTTTGAACTAAGAAACTTTTGTAAAGAAATTTACTATATATGCCTTTTCCTAGCCTGTTTCTTCCAGTTAATGTATTTGTTAATGTTTGGTGCATAGAACTGGGTAACTGCAAAGTTCTGTGTTTAATTTCTTCCAACGGTGTACATTTAGTGCTGCGTCTTATAGCACTTTGAAATACCTCATGTTTATGAAAATAAATAGCAATTACATGATGTGCCATTCACTATTTTTTCTTTTAAATGAAATTCCTTGAAATAAAGTCTTTAACTTTGCAATGTTTATGAAATAAAAAACATGGTCCCATATGTAGGGGTTTGAACTCTCAAAGTATAGGTGATGTTTTACAAAAAGTCAGCCAGTCAGAACATTACCATTTCTGGGTAAAAAGTAATTGCAAAAACAATTTCCCTATTCTTTCACAATTCATACGTCTCTTGTGATGTCACAGTCTTTGCAGGGGATCGGCTGTATCACAATTAATGGAGAGACTGCAGTGTCTTTTGAAGACTTCTGGAACATGGACTACGTAATGAACTGTGAGAGGGACAAACAGACTTCAATTAATGTCATTTCTTGCCACAGGTTTTTTTTTTTGGTTTTTTTTTTTTTTTTTTTTTTTTTCCTACTCTGCTAGGTGATTAAAAGTTGACAATCCTACTGAAAATGAAGTGCAGAGAGCTGTGAAGCCTGTGTCATACAGCATATAGTCTGGAAAGAAATTGGTAGGTGGTCATCTCAAGTAATGCAATGGTGTTTTGTGTGACAGAAGCAAGACTTGGCTGAGATAACACGGGGTCATATTTTGGTCAGTTGTTTGAGACTAAGGCCCTATTTTATTTTCTAGACTGTACAGAAACTTCTGATGTTCTTTTTAACTATTCAAGCTTGAAAAATAAGATGTAGATTGGTGAACAAAGGATGAATTGAAAGGAGCTAATCTAGGACGTGATTATTATTTAGCCATGATGCGCAGGGTATAGCTTGCTTGGTGACTGAGCTACATAACATCTCATTTGCCATGAGGTAAGAAGTAAGAGCAAAGTCACCACAGTAACGTGTGCCATATGTCTATGCCCTACAGTAACTTGGTGTATCATAGCCTGTGTATTTGGCCCTCAGTCCCAAAAAATTTGGGAGTTGAACTTAGGTTTCACTGCAGCAAATCTGTATCTTCAACTGGCACAAATTGGTGTAGTGCTGCTTGGATTCAGCTTGGCCTACGTGACTTTTAAAAATTTCACCTGAATACGTACACTTAATATGTATCTCCTCAAATCAGACTCTCAAATCAGAGAGCTCCAACAGTTCCACAACCAACCTTTGTTCCTTCCCGTTTTTGGTGGACGTCTGGTTCACATCCTCCACTCAAGGCAAGAACAAACTACATGAGAAAAAAGGTTGCTCAGGGTCAAACTTAGACAAGTTCTGAATGTCTTAAAGGATGAAGATTGAACAGCCAGACGACACTTCCAATTTTTGACTGCCACGACAATCAAGTTTTCCTGATGTTCCTTCGGAATTTTCTTTGCTGTAACTTGAGTCCGTTGCCTCCTGTCTTTCGTATTTAATCTCAGAGAAGAGCCTGGCTCCACCTCTGCAACCTTCCATTAGATAGCTGATGACAGCAATTACTTCTCCTTTCTCGAGGACGAACCCAGTTCTGCCCCCTATTGTTGTGTTAGCGGAGCACTTGGAGTATAATAAAGGTGTCAAATACTTAGCTTTGTTTGGAAATCGAGCACAAATTCCCATTCTGAAATCCTTTTTCAATGTGCAATCCTTTTGAATTCAGCGATAAGCGTCCAAGTGTTGTCAATGGAGATAGGATCTGCCCCATCCACTCCAGGGTACTGTTGATGTTTTCTGCTGTTGGGTGAGTTTATCTTCTTTTCTTCCTTCCCCTCCCCCAACTTGTGGGGGTTAATAGGTTTGCTTTCACATTGTTGATGCAGGAAGCAATTTGTTAATGGCAAATGCTTTTGTAAACAAATTCAGGTGTAGGATGTTATTAAACTGCCATTGTTAAATAGGTGATAGTGGTTTTAGATTCATAAGAAAAAAAAAAAGGGTGTCAGAAAGATAGCTTTTGAAAAGAACAGGGAAACAGTAGATTTAATAATTCCTTCAGTACTTGAAGGAGTATATAGAGAAGTATATTGACACATAGCAACAACCAGAACAAAAGATCCTGCTTCAAGCATAGCTAGAATTAAGAATTATTAATGACTACGTCATGTAATGAATGGAGGAACTATTCAGTCCATTGTTTTGTTTGTTTGCAATATACATACCTTGCATAAAAATCTAGAAACACGTGGAGAAGCTGTTAAAAAACTTTACAAGTACCTAATAACAGGTTACTAAAAGAGGGTATTGACCATTCCTGAACGGAAAACTGAATTAGAATAATCACAATCTTATCTGATTAGCCATAAAAATTCCCAAGTTATTTTTCATACAAGATTGAATCTGCTGATAGAATCAGATGTATTCCTCCCAAATCACATATCACAGAGGGCAATCTTCTCTCGCTTTTATCTTTATTTTCTTAAAAGTACCTCTAAAAGTACAATGGACTTCAAGCACCAAAGTGAAATGATTCCCCCATAAACCAGTGTAAGTAAAATACCAGCGGGAGAGCATAAAAAGGTGAAATGTGTTAATGATGTCATTACCACCAGGTCACTTGTTACCATGAGTGTGAAACAAAGTGCATTTCTCAAACCCCAAGCTGCTGTTATAGCAACTTATCACCAACTCTTGGCAGAACTGCTTGAGTTTTCATGATGTGTAAGATTTGCAGAGGTTACATTAGCTCCCGGTAAATATGCTGATAAACCAACCTAAAATAAAATGACTTTAAACGGATCCTGTTCTTAAGCCTGAGTTTCCTGACTTGTGACTGTTTTAAATCAGATTAATTTTATTTAAAGGTTTAAGTTTGGTATAATGAATTTAACTACTTTTTAATGTACCATACTATTTATCACACTCTTGGCAAATGCTTCACGATTTATAACTGAGCTCCCTTCTCCTTGTCTCTACTTCCACTTTTTTTTCCCCTTCACCTTTCTACTAGAAACTGGAATTTTTCTCTCACAAGCCCCAAACCATCAAACTCAAAGAGGATTTGAGGTTCACCCCTGTAAAATAAGCAGGGATTTCAGTAGAAGCATGAGATACACAAAACTTCCAGAAAGCTCACTGCAAAAACAATAGCCATGCTAATTGTAGGGCCAGCACAGCAGTGTTTGCTGGAGTACCAATGAACAGAGCACCAGCTTGCCTCAGCAGCTTGCCTGAATTCAGAGCCCTTGAGCTCAGACAGTCTTTCTCTTCTGCTGGGTTACCCTTTCCAATCTGCCACTACAAGCTGTTTCTTGCTGCCTGTCTGCTTGTGCTGAGCCTCCAAGCAGGCTTGGCCATAGTGAAATGGGTATTTCGCTGTTAGGATGCCCCTAGCTGCAAATCTTTAATTCTCATCCAGTTCTCAGCGCAATTCTCAGCGCAGTTATGTATGTATTTTAGCAACAAGTGACTTGAAGATAGAGTGCAACAAGTTACTCTTCATCTGTGAGCTTGGAAGATCCCTTTTATGTGCGCTTTAGGTATAGACTAACACATATGCTGCGTGCACCCAAGGAATTCCCTATGTCAGTTATAAACCCTGCTAAATAAACCAAAATCTATATTTTGACTAAATAAGAACACTGGCCAATTGGTCTCCTTTGAAGAAAAAGCAAACAACTGTGTTCTGTTTCCCACTGTATGGTCACCATGTGACACTCCTAAACAACACAAATCAAAAAATCAAACACATCCACAAAGTAACTACAATTAATGGCCAATATTTTTAAATGTCCTGGTGAAATGAATGGGTACGTAGTATGCATCAGACATAAATGAATTAGGTCTACTAACTGCTAATCTCTGAAGTGTTGAATTAAATTTAATATGCATAATCATTGTTAGGCTCTGTGTATGCTATTACAGCTGCTCTATTTGTGATCTATATTTCCCATGATATAGATCTTCCATCTGATATTGTTTAGGTAAGTGAAAACATTTTCATTTCATGATAAAATAAACTCGTTATTTCTTTTTCGCATTCTATTTAATCCAATTTCC